GGCGTGTAAAGTGAGAATACCAGAAAGAACTCTTTCAATTAAAATTTATTTTCTCACAACAGTTATAGTTGCTTTCCCGGTTCATAATTTCAGGTTCTTTGAAATTGAAATTATGTTGGTTATTTAATGCATGTTCTGATAGTGCTGTTTTTGTTTTGCTTATGTTTTTTAAACTGTATTGGTGTTCGTGTATACGTTTTTTAAATATATTGCTTCCTTAGTCCTCCGCACTAAGTCCGCTTTTTGTTGAAAACTTTAATATATAAAGGATCGACCAAACAGAGTTCACAAAGATAAATATGTACACTTAACTAAATGAAATTAACTAACTTAAATTTAAGAACCCCGAATTGATAGTAAAATGAATTATTTTCGAATTGGCTCTCGTTATCAACTCATAATACAGAACTGCTGCCCGGATATTTTAAATTGCTGTTCAAAAAAATCGCATACAAAGAAGAAATTTTACAACAACTTATTACAAGATCGGAATGCGGGTAGTAACAACAATTTTCTGATTTTCTGAGAAGTATGACAATGGCAAATATTGAAACATACGCATCTTAACTGAAATTTGGAAAGTTCAGCCCTAATGATTTTAAACGACATTCAAAGTTGTTGTGCATGAGCCAAAGAAGGTTTTTGGAAATAATAAAATAATAATAATTTTGATTTACATTGGAATGACAGTGGCGCCAACTGTCGAAAATTGGTAGTACCAACTTTGGCTCATATACAAAAACTTTGCTAAAGATCATCACATGACAACATGCACAGGGTACACGTACAGCAGTACAGCTAGTATTAATATATATAACTGCTCAGATAAGGCTCTCACTTACTGCAACGGTATTATAGACAACAAAAGTGTATAATTCAAACGAAAATGACGACTGCACGTCGTGGCTCTTTCGATGTGGATGTTCACTTCATGGGTGTTGCATCTCTTGCATCCAAACAAAGTAGAGATCCTGTAACACAAGTTGGTGCGTGCATTGTGAAAAACAACGTGATTCTTGGAATAGGATACAACAGAATGCCTAGAAATTGCAGTCATTTTCCTTGGGGAAAAAATGAGAAAGACCCTTTAAAAAATAAACATTCTTACGGTACGTAAACCCAAAATATCTACATAATATAAGATTCTTTTTAAACTTGTTTTGTTATCAATAGTATGGTGGAAGGGAAATTAGATAGGTACTTTCATTGCAATGCGTATTATCTTTTCGATACTACGTGCAATATTTTTATCAGTTTTTTAAGTTCAATGCTACCTATATTGCGTTCAATTAAAAAAAAAAAAATATTAATTCGGCCAATTGACTGGTATTTTCAAGCTTTCGGCACTAAAGCATTTCTCATTCAGTTATGGTTCTTGATGTTGAATTTAACGTCGATCATGAGATGACCAAATCGGTGATGCCGAATTCCCGCCTGCAGGTGGTTTTGGTTAAAATATAGATGCATTTCAGCACAGTAAATTAAAGATAAAGTAATTTCATAAAGAAAACACACCTATCAGTTATGAAATGTTTATTTATTTAATTTTAAAATGGTTTCCCACTACCTTAACAAATTCAATGTTTGGAAATTCGTGTGCGTCTAGCTTTTTGATGCAATCATCTAGAAAAAATTTATTAGTTTTACTTTGTCTTGTTAACAATTTTTTAAAATTAGATGAAACACTTCGTAGTATTTGACCAATAGAAAGGTGGTCTAATAAAATTATTATTGTTATTGTGGTGTCTATAATATATGAATAATATTAAGATTAATATGTGATGTGAGGCGGTATTATTTAAACAACTCTTTATGACTTCATAGTGACAGTTAGCACTCAAGGTCATCCTACGCCGTTGGGAGGCCATTGATGTATTAGGAAGGAATTCGACATACCAAAAAATTTAACCCTAATTAAAAACAGGTATACGGAAGGGAACTAGGCGTTATCCGGAAAATATACTCTGCGCGTATCGTGAACGTGCTTATACCTGCTTGCCGTGATTCAAAAATTATTTGCATAGTGTAAAATTGTGTTCGGAGGTAGTTGTGAATGTTCTTTGAAAAAACTAAAAACCACAGTATCACTGATGACACTACGAAGACACCTAATATACTCTTATCAATACCTCGTCACAACTCAAATACGTATTGTATAATATGTAGGTGTAAGAATAACCTCATGACTGTACCAAAAGCAGGTCGAACTCAAGTTTTTCAATTGACTCTGCAAGTTTTACGTCCTGTAAGCGACTCAAGTTTTTCAATTGACTCTGCAAGTTTTACGTCCTGTAAGCGACTCAAGTTTTTCAATTGACTCTGCAAGTTTTACGTCCTGTAAGCGACAATACCTTAATGTATGACAAAGATATTGAATGTCTTTTAAGCAGTATCCAGAAAAGTAGCAAAGAAAGAAGAGCTCTACTTTGATACACCAGGTCAACTTTCTAAATCTGATTATTTTAATCTCATGGGTATAGGGAAGCTTGATTTTAACTGTGTTTTTGAACTTGTAGAGCCCAAGATTCGTTCCTCGAAAGTGAGGTCATCTCGTACATGTCTGGCAGTATTACTTGTAAAACTGGTCTGTCTAATATTGTTTTGTCCACATTATTCAATATAAGAAAAAGATTGATTTCATCTTCTGTGCAATGTACCTGTCAGGCTTTAATTGAGAACTTTGTGGCACTATACGTTAGGATGAAACACATAACGAGAACACAGTTATTGAAGTACATACGAGACCTTTAGCAGAAAGATTGTTTATTCGCGATGGAGACGATGATACACTGATACTCGTTGCTGATGGCACGTATATTTATATACAGAAAAGTGTGAACTATTCCTTTCAGAAACGATCTTACTCGTTATACAAAGGAAGACCTTTAATCATATGTATGATGTTCGTCACTACTTCTGGTTACATTTTAGACGTCTTCGGACCCTACTTGGCTGATCCAAAGAACAACGATGCTAACATATTCACGCATATATTAAAAAAAGATGCACATAGTATTGTAATGTTCGTGGTTTTAACAAAATTAACTTCTTAGACTGATAACGAAAGAAAAAACTATTTATTGATAGTTGATATATCACTATTCACTGCTATCACTGTCAATTTATTTCTCGACTCACTTCTGCAACGGTCAATTTATTTCTACCTCTCTCGGCGATCGTCTCTTCCTTTAAATACTCTTTTGTTTACTTTCGGGAACCTTCTCGAAACGTCCAGATAGTTTATTCTTTCTTTGAACTGTTTAACTGCTTTCCCAGAACGCAGGTACGATACACACATTTACAAATACGACGCACATGAAGAAAGGCGCCCGCGGCTAGTCGGCGAATCGATAAGCCGTTCACGCACACGTGTGTCCGATCGCACACAAACACACTCGTGCTCGCTACATTATCAAAGATTGGCTGAAGCCAAATGATGTAATGGTTGTTGCTAGAGGTTTTCGTGATTGTTTGGGACTTCTAGAAGAAATGGGCCACGTGCATAAAATGCCTAAGGTTTCTAAATAAACAGCAACAGTTTTCAACAGAAGATGCTAACGAGACGCGTCTTGTGACTAACGTCAGATGGGTCGTTGAAGCTGTTAATAGTTAGTTGAAAAACTGGAGAGCATTGGATAAAGTGATACCAAATACTCAAATGCCTTACATCGTACGAATCATATGTGCTATCCTTAATGCATTTTATCCTACAAGAGTTAAAAAAACCGAAGATGATGAAATAATCGCTCAACGAATGCTTGATTTGACTAAAAACCTTACTGATTAAAACAATTAGTCTAAGAAAAAGAGTGGGCAAGAAAAAAAGCTACCTGGATTATGCTAACTGACACAAAACTTCAAGATTTTCCACGCCTAACTTGGTATGAGCTGCGACATCTAACATTCGGTATTTATCAATTGAAAGAAAGTAAATCTTACACTCAAGAGCACATAACTCTTTACATACATCGTGAAGACAGGGGCGGCCTTAGTCATTGGAAGGTTCCGGGCGGGTAAATTTTTGCGGGGCCCTNTCAAAAAAAAAAAAAAAAAAAAACGACATTTTAGACAGTATCGAAACAGTATCAGCGAAGCAACAAACAAGACAAAATAATTCACTTTTACATTTAATTTTATTCATTTAGTTTATTTTAATTCTACGTGTAAGTTAAGTGTTGACTATTAAATATTTAAAACAACAATCGTTATCATTTACATAAATTAGTTTGCTCGTAATTAATTTGGCGTGTAAAGTGAGAATACCAGAAAGAACTCTTTCAATTAAAATTTATTTTCTCACAACAGTTATAGTTGCTTTCCCGGTTCATAATTTCAGGTTCTTTGAAATTGAAATTATGTTGGTTATTTAATGCATGTTCTGATAGTGCTGTTTTTGTTTTGCTTATGTTTTTTAAACTGTATTGGTGTTCGTGTATACGTTTTTTAAATATATTGCTTCCTTAGTCCTCCGCACTAAGTCCGCTTTTTGTTGAAAACTTTAATATATAAAGGATCGACCAAACAGAGTTCACAAAGATAAATATGTACACTTAACTAAATGAAATTAACTAACTTAAATTTAAGAACCCCGAATTGATAGTAAAATGAATTATTTTCGAATTGGCTCTCGTTATCAACTCATAATACAGAACTGCTGCCCGGATATTTTAAATTGCTGTTCAAAAAAATCGCATACAAAGAAGAAATTTTACAACAACTTATTACAAGATCGGAATGCGGGTAGTAACAACAATTTTCTGATTTTCTGAGAAGTATGACAATGGCAAATATTGAAACATACGCATCTTAACTGAAATTTGGAAAGTTCAGCCCTAATGATTTTAAACGACATTCAAAGTTGTTGTGCATGAGCCAAAGAAGGTTTTTGGAAATAATAAAATAATAATAATTTTGATTTACATTGGAATGACAGTGGCGCCAACTGTCAAAAATTGGTCGTACCAACTTTGGCTCATATACAAAAACTTTGCTAAAGATCATCACATGACAACATGCACAGGGTACACGTACAGCAGTACAGCTAGTATTAATATATATAACTGCTCAGATAAGGCTCTCACTTACTGCAACGGTATTATAGACAACAAAAGTGTATAATTCAAACGAAAATGACGACTGCACGTCGTGGCTCTTTCGATGTGGATGTTCACTTCATGGGTGTTGCATCTCTTGCATCCAAACAAAGTAGAGATCCTGTAACACAAGTTGGTGCGTGCATTGTGAAAAACAACGTGATTCTTGGAATAGGATACAACAGAATGCCTAGAAATTGCAGTCATTTTCCTTGGGGAAAAAATGAGAAAGACCCTTTAAAAAATAAACATTCTTACGGTACGTAAACCCAAAATATCTACATAATATAAGATTCTTTTTAAACTTGTTTTGTTATCAATAGTATGGTGGAAGGGAAATTCGATAGGTACTTTCATTGCAATGCGTATTATCTTTTCGATACTACGTGCAATATTTTTATCAGTTTTTTAAGTTCAATGCTACCTATATTGCGTTCAATTAAAAAAAAAAAAATATTAATTCGGCCAATTGACTGGTATTTTCAAGCTTTCGGCACTAAAGCATTTCTCATTCAGTTATGGTTCTTGATGTTGAATTTAACGTCGATCATGAGATGACCAAATCGGTGATGCCGAATTCCCGCCTGCAGGTGGTTTTGGTTAAAATATAGATGCATTTCAGCACAGTAAATTAAAGATAAAGTAATTTCATAAAGAAAACACACCTATCAGTTATGAAATGTTTATTTATTTAATTTTAAAATGGTTTCCCACTACCTTAACAAATTCAATGTTTGGAAATTCGTGTGCGTCTAGCTTTTTGATGCAATCATCTAGAAAAAATTTATTAGTTTTACTTTGTCTTGTTAACAATTTTTTAAAATTAGATGAAACACTTCGTAGTATTTGACCAATAGAAAGGTGGTCTAATAAAATTATTATTGTTATTGTGGTGTCTATAATATATGAATAATATTAAGATTAATATGTGATGTGAGGCGGTATTATTTAAACAACTCTTTATGACTTCATAGTGACAGTTAGCACTCAAGGTCATCCTACGCCGTTGGGAGGCCATTGATGTATTAGGAAGGAATTCGACATACCAAAAAATTTAACCCTAATTAAAAACAGGTATACGGAAGGGAACTAGGCGTTATCCGGAAAATATACTCTGCGCGTATCGTGAACGTGCTTATACCTGCTTGCCGTGATTCAAAAATTATTTGCATAGTGTAAAATTGTGTTCGGAGGTAGTTGTGAATGTTCTTTGAAAAAACTAAAAACCACAGTATCACTGATGACACTACGAAGACACCTAATATACTCTTATCAATACCTCGTCACAACTCAAATACGTATTGTATAATATGTAGGTGTAAGAATAACCTCATGACTGTACTAAAAGCAGGTCGAACTCAAGTTTTTCAATTGACTCTGCAAGTTTTACGTCCTGTAAGCGACTCAAGTTTTTCAATTGACTCTGCAAGTTTTACGTCCTGTAAGCGACAATACCTTAATGTATGACAAAGATATTGAATGTCTTTTAAGCAGTATCCAGAAAAGTAGCAAAGAAAGAAGAGCTCTACTTTGATACACCAGGTCAACTTTCTAAATCTGATTATTTTAATCTCATGGGTATAGGGAAGCTTGATTTTAACTGTGTTTTTGAACTTGTAGAGCCCAAGATTCGTTCCTCGAAAGTGAGGTCATCTCGTACATGTCTGGCAGTATTACTTGTAAAACTGGTCTGTCTAATATTGTTTTGTCCACATTATTCAATATAAGAAAAAGATTGATTTCATCTTCTGTGCAATGTACCTGTCAGGCTTTAATTGAGAACTTTGTGGCACTATACGTTAGGATGAAACACATAACGAGAACACAGTTATTGAAGTACATACGAGACCTTTAGCAGAAAGATTGTTTATTCGCGATGGAGACGATGATACACTGATACTCGTTGCTGATGGCACGTATATTTACGAGGGTGGATTGATAAGTTTCCGGCCTGACCAAGAAAAACAAGGTTTTTAAAAATTTTTTTTTTTTATTTCTCAACATAATCTCCTCCAAGGCTGATACATTTCTCATAGCGGTGTTCCAGTCTATTAATGCCATCTCTATAGACTGATTCGTCAAGCTCCTCNCCAATTTAATACTACTATTTACTGAAGAGTTGTAAGATAACACAGCGTGGGAAAGTAATGCTTCATAATTATTAGTGTGTTTATTTGTGTCAATTATTGTGGCAATTGTATCTTTTAAGGTGCAAATAACTCTCTCTACAGCACCGTTGCTTTTAGGGTGGTATGCAATGGTGTACGTGTGCTCTATAAATAGTTCTTTCTCTAATTTTGATAAAATTTTATTAAGGAATTCGCCTCCTTGATCAGAATGAACCCTTTTTGGAATGCCGAAAGTAGCTATGAATTTAAGAAGGTGGTTTGATACCTCTTGAGCTGATTTGTCACTCAATAAGTAACATTGAATAAATTTAGACAATTGATCCTGGATTACTAAAACGGTTCGTTTTTGTTTTTTTGAAAAGTAAATTTCGGCTGTATCCATATCTATGCGTTCAAACGGATATGTTGGCGTTTCTGTTATAGTCATTGGACTTTCGTACGATCTTCTCACTGTTTTATTTCTTTGACACGTTTCACAATTGTTAATATAATTTGTTACATCGTCCTTGATTCCTGACCAATCGAAGTACTCATGAATTCTATTTAAAGTTTCATTTATACCCTTATGTCCGTACGCTGGCGGGTCGTGATGAAGGGAAATGATATGTTGTTTACTTTCCGGGTTACCTGAATTTTTATAGGTGTTATTAATTTGTATTTCCTGATCGTCGGGAAAATTTAGTTTGTTTCTAAGATAGTTAATAACTTTAATTAATGTATCGTTTTCTTCTTTTGATACGGTAAATCGCAACAGATCATTAGAAGATGCCAAAGTTAAAATAATTAAGACGTTTTCAAATAATTCTCTAGGATTTTGATAATTGTTTACTATATATGTTAAGTTAGGGTTTGATTGCGATTGTTTAAGTTCTATATTTTCATCGAAACTGGGACTTTCTGTGTCGTGAAGAATAAAGTTTACCTTTTTTATTTTATCAGAAGGAAAGAGAATTTCGTAAGTATGATTTTTATCGTTAAATTTTCCTACCACGGTCTTAGGTGTGTCATAAGATCTTTCGTCCATAAGAAATATATCATAATCAATACCCTCGGGTATATCCGCAACACTTCTTTCAAACATATTAACTTTTAATGAATTTTGAATTTCGGGTTCAATTTTGATTCTTGAAAGAGCATCCGCGTTTCTATTTAATGTTCCTTTCTTATAAATGACTTCATAACTGTACTCTTCAAGCTTTAAACGCCATCTAATTAGTCTGGAGCCCGGATCTTTAATACTAAATAACCACGTAAGTGGACGGTGATCAGTTATAATTTTGAAGTGTGTTCCATACAGATATGGCCGAAAATGTTTTGTAGCCCATACGATGGCAAGCAGCTCTCTTTCTATCGTAGAATATCTTGTTTCTGCCGAATTAAGTGTTCTACTGGCATACGCCACAGGCAAGTCTTTACCTATAGGGCCTTGTGAAAGGACAGCTCCAATAGCGTATTGTGAGGCATCTGTTGTCAAAATAAACTGTTCTTCGAATCGAGGATATTGCAACACAGGGGATTGAGTCAAATAAGTTTTGAGTTCTGTGAATGAATTTTGACATTGGTCTGTCCAAAGAAATTGTGTATCTTTTTTTAATAAAACGGTCAAGGGTTTCGCGATCTTAGCATAATTAGGAATGAATTTACGATAATAACCGCTCAGTCCCAAAAATGATTCGATGTCTTTTGCGGTTTTGGGCACTGGAAAGTTAGAAATAGCTTGTATTTTCTGCGGATTTGGTTTTATTCCATCCCTAAACACGATATGTCCTAAAAATTCGTTTCTTTTTTGAGGAACTCACTTTTATCAATCTAAATTTTTAAATTAAATTCTATCAGACGTTTGAAAACATTTCTTAAGCGGTTGTTTTGATCTTCTAATGAATTTCCATATTTAACGATATCTTCCAAACATACTAAACACTGTTTGAGAGTGAGACCTGTCAATACCGAATTCATTGCCCTTTGAAACGTTGAGGGAGCATTGATCAGGCCAAAATGGCCTTCTTAGAAATTCATAATGTCCCTCGCTAGTAGAAAAAAAAGTTTTTGATATCGAATTTGGATGTATTCCAACCTGGTGAAAACCACTGGCAAGATCTAGAGTAGAAAAATATTGCGCGTGTCGTAAATTGTCAAAAATTTCGTCTATATTTGGAATGGGAAACTTATAAGGAATAGTAAATTTGTTCAAACGATAGTCAATTACGAAGCGCCATTTTTGTTTTTCCAGAGGCATCTGTTTTCTCAGGCACTATCCAAATTGGACTTGAATAAGGTGAATGACTTGGTCTAATGATTTTTTGTTTTGAATGTTTTTCAATTTGGAAATTTACTTCATCTTTATGACATTGTGGATATCTGTAGGTTTTTGTTCGAGAAATGCACCATTAAATTCCCGAAAATATTCACTGATCGGCTTTTTTGAAATTACGGAAAAGACGATCCTCCTGACTGCGCCAACTAATACGATAAAAGTTACAACAAAAGAGTTTTTAAAAAGAACTTTATTTTAAAAGTACAAGATAATAATTATCAGGCCTAGTCTGAAGCTAGAATGATTTAAGTTTTCATAAAAGAATATAATATTGATAATATGACTACTAAGCAGTTCCAAGTTAAAAGATAACTAGTTATAAGTATGAGAAAATAGTGTCCTTGAAAAGAGTTACCACTCCATTTTAGGAAAATAGCAAATAAATATGCATTCATATTAATTTTTGACAATTTCAGTGTGTCATGCAGAAATGATTGCCATCTGCAACAAGAATTCGGCGGATGTTAAGGACTCTACGATGTATGTTACCTTGTTTCCGTGCAATGAATGCGCCAAATTGATAGTTGAAAATGGAATAAAGGAAGTTGTGTACCAATCATATAAAGACAAACCATCAACAGATGCTTCAAAACTGATATTTGATGCAGCAGGAGTTAAATATAGGTAATACTTATAGCACATCCAATACACATATTAGGATACGGCGCACATGAAGAAAAGCGCCCGCGGCTAGTCGGCGAATCGATAAGCCGCTCACACACACGTATGCCCGATCGCACACAATCACGCTCGTGGTCGCTACAGAATGTACAGATAAGGCACACACGACGTTCGCAAACTCGTCTAAACCACACGAACAATAAACAAAAATACTTATTCGAATATAGGGTCTGCTTACCCTAAAATATAAATATTAACCTACCCCTTTTTTCATAACCAAAACTGAAATACATTTTTTTTTTAAACTTTCTTTTGTAAAAATTTTGGTCCAGGCATTCGGTGGCAATAAAAATTTAAAAACAAAGAAATCACAATTTTTCACATAAACTGCCCACGTAAAAGTCGACAGTGTATGGCCTGCATCAGTCGTTATTTCGGTTATAGTCTATCAGCTTGAATCTTGATTCCGATCGTGGAAATCTATGTTCTGATACTTATATTCCATCATAGTCGTACATCAGGTACAAATTTAGACGTCAGTCAGTACTTTTTTACCATTTTCCTTCATACCATGATCAATTATTATTATTATTATTCATCATATTTTACAATTTTCTAACAGCAACCTCACTAAATGTAATTAATAAGTAATCTAATTCTCCCATCAGCGGTGTTTTGACCACAGCTAGTACTACATAGTGCCTTTATCTANGTTCGTTTTCTCAGAAACGAAGTTATTGAAGCAAATATAAAACTTTTATAATTTTAGTCCATTTAATTTTTATTTGCATTTTTATTTTGGCAATATTAGTTTTAAATTATTCATAGTCATGCTCGGTCACTAGAGTCATTTTACAACCCTGCCAGTTTGTACCTTTCATCTGGTATTTCCAAATTTCTAGGTATGACTTTCCGGTAACATCTGTACATAGACCGGTTCATTTATGTTCAATGTAAATATACATTGTATTATTAGTAAATAGTCCGATCTATGTATCTCAATTGTATTTATATTCGCATTTTCAGTAACCAAAGACCGAGCGGCATGGCCTAGAGGTCTAGACCATTGCTTAGCATTCGGGAGGACGCCGGNGAAAGTTAAGGTAAATAAGGAAAGGGTTCAATTATTTCAATGAGGAATGCACGTGGACAGAATGTCGAGAATGTAGTAAGTTAATTCATTTCAGTACTAGGCTACATATTAGGATAAATTGTAAGATTACAAGTGACAGAAGTACTTCTGATTCCAAAGTTTAAAATTGAAACACCAGTAAATCAATCGATTAAAACAAAAATTAGATCTAAACACAAACATAAGGAAAACGTTAAAACTACAATTGTATCTTACATAGGTGAAAAATTGCCCGATTCTTTTGTCAATAGACAATTAGTACCCGTTCTACAAAACCATAACTCTGATTTTAAAGGTAAATTAAATTTTAGTGATAATCTAGGTCTAAGCGAAATTAGTGAAGTGGTAAGGGTAAATTTAAAATTAATTCAAAGGGAGAGTTTTAGTGTTGATATTATTGTAATGTTCGTGGGTTCAACAAATTAAATTTTAAGAAGAAAACTATTTATTTACACTAATTATTATTGAAGGACTTAAAAACACTATTAACTTATTACTAGACTTAGGTAATTATTCTATTTATTTACACTACTGTTACTATTTACTGTTCTATTTATTTCACTTCTATCACTTTCAATTTATCTCTTGATTCGCCTTTGCAACGGTCAATTTATTTCTACTTTACTTCGGCGATCGTCTCTTCCTTTTTATACTCCCTTGCCTCCTTTCGGGAACGTTCTACAGCAGTCCAGAGTAGTCTCGTTTTCTTTGAACGGTTTAATTGCTTTCCCGGAACGCAGGTACGACTCACACATTTACAGATACGGCGCACATGAAGAAAAGCGCCCGCGGCTAGTCGGCGAATCGATAAGCCGCTCACACACACGTATGCCCGATCGCACACAATCACGCTCGTGGTCGCTACATTATGCAATGGTCACAACAAACATATATCAATATAAAAAAGGGCGTTCTCCGAAAAACATCCGATTGTGTGCCACAAAAAAATAATAATACAGTGAGTTTACACATTCGGGAAAACCACGTCTTGTGATGTGATAGTGAGGCTCAAAGCAGGCTTAATGCTGCAAGAGCAAAGGAGTGGCCAATTAATGGCAAAAATGCAATAAAATTAATTATACGTAAATATGTTGTTTGTTTTAAAGTCTTACCTAAGAGGAAATTTACTAAGGAATAGTTTTTCCATGTGCGGAAAAAATAAAACCCGGTGCATTAGTGGTGTCAAGAGAAGACAATGCGCCATCTGTATATGGGTCACGTGACCGAGTTCTAAACGGTTTTCCAGAAGACTATGAAAGAATGCGTGTTAATAAAGTGAAGACTAATTCCGATGTTTTTAAACCTGCAGTATTAAAGGTTTAGTGCCTTTATTACCGTTATGATATTAGCTGAAAAATTTGTGTAAATAGATACGTCCAATTCATTTAACTTATGTTATAAGTTATAGAGTTACGCTAACACGCTTGTATTAAAAAATTAGTGAAGAAACTTGTTGTATTAGTAATTGAAAGTTCTCAATTTAAAATTTCGTGACGTTTGTGTGTTTATAATTGAAAATTGGTAGCATGTAGTGATTATTTAAGATTTATAATGTCTTTTATATATGATTTCAAAATCGCAGTGTTAATTCTAAATTAATTGTTGTATTTTCTATTGTGCTTGAAAATCTCGTACATTTTTCCAATTATTATTGAACGGGGACCGTTCAAGGCGGGCGGTATGTTCAGAGGCAAGACCGACCTTTTTGATGCAGGTCATAAAGTTCCTGCATTCAGTTTTTAGAATACTTTGCAAACATACAAGGCGGTGTTGTGTTTATTTGATAATAGACCCTTCGAGTATAGCTAGAAGTTATCCAGGCTACATTGTTGTAATCTATATAAAAAAGTGCTGACATAGGTCTGCTCTCACGTTGGAGCCTTGATAACAAGTCTGAACTGGAAACTGCTTTTGCATAGTTAGCATTTAAGTTTTCTTATGGTTCTTTTTAATTATAAATCTTTAGATTGTTACCAGCGCGTCTACCATCTAGACGTAAGAACCTACAACCCATTTTACCTAGTAACATTTTCCACTTGTATTGAGTATTGATGTACTAGATAAATAAATAACTTTGAACTCACGAAAAAAGCTTGGTAACCTTCTCAGTCCCCACAACGTTTTTTAAAATAAATTTTTAAAAACAACTTTCGGAGGACTTAAAACAAAACTGGCGCAGTCGTGACGGATTTTCGGTGAGTTTCCTGTTTTGCAAGCGTACATCCGGCAAAGTGATCCCGTACCCGCGACGTCCGAAAGTTCGGCAAAGTGAAATTAGGAACAACCGAAAAGTGAGTTCAAAAAGGTGATAGTTGCTGCTACAGTCTCCCGACCCAAAGAGGCAACGAGGACAGAACTGGGACAACTAGACAGACCGCCAAAATCCGGAGAAACAGAGAGGGTCTCCCGACCACAACAAGGGCACCGAGGAACAACCTTCCAACAACTCCAAAAACCAGAGTAACAGAGTGGGTCTCCCGACCAAAACAAGGGCACCGAGGAGCAACCTTCCGACAACTCAAAAACTTCATCAGAGGAACCGAGTGGGTCTCCCGACCAAAACAAGGGCACCGAGGAGCAACCTTCC